GAGCAGTCCCTTTTACTGTTTGATGCCTGCTAGATCAGGTCACTCCAGGTACAGTATCATGTGTACTGTACATAAAGGCTTGTGGCTTCCTTTTTAAAGTAGCTACTGTTAGCCATCTCAGTAAGATTAACCCCAGCTGCAGTTAGAGCTGAACACCAGCAATCCAATAGGTCTGTATTGTCCAGGGTTTGATCTATTACTCAAGACTGAGTCTGTGTGTATAGAAGTGTAGAAAACTTGTGGTCTTCAGGCAACTAAACAATTGTTTTTACATCAGAATTAATCAAATTCACTTGTAAGAGTAGAGACTAGAAGTGCTTGTATGGCTCAGAATTGTTTTAGTGCAGTTATGTTGATGATTCCATCCCATCGAACATGTGAGTTTTTCTCTTTTCTTATCAAATTACAGTATTATCGCTCTTCTGCATTTCTAGAATATAATACATCTTTTCCTGCGTTCAAAGGTCTTGTTTCATTTCTGCTCTTTTTTGATTGTTTGATCGAACAGTCCTGCTTCGGCAGAATGAGAATTAGTTAGGTGGCTAGGGTACTGTGCTGCCCTTTCACAGTTTTTATTAGATGGATGCTAAAGTCAGACACCTCTTACAACGTCTCAGCTGAAGCACCTGTTATTGAATCTCTGTTCCCTACCTTATATATATAGAGAGAGAGAATGACCTTTTCCAGGATTTGCTTCTGTTTCACTGTGTATTGATATAGCCTGCAGAAAAGTTCACGTCTGCTAATCGTTTATTATCTCAGCCTCGGTCTGCAGTAGCAGAAAGGTTATGGCTGTCTGTGCCTGGATTGTCTTGCTTTACAGACTGTATGTGTGTCCAGCAGACTGGAGTCGATCCTGTGATATAAGTGCGGAGAGCCTTGTTTCTCCAAGATAGCACAATCGAGGGGTGAAAGGGGCTGCACAAGCTCACAAGTTCAGCGGACAGTTAGGAAAGAGGTGCCACACAGAGGTTACCTGGGTGAACTTTATAAGAGTGTAAGGGTTACAAATGAGCATAGCCTGTGCAGCTTATTGATCCAGTGATCTCCTCCACTCGTTTTTCCAGGGGCCCCAAGCCATGATGTTTAGAAGTATAGTTGGCTATAACCACTAATCCCAGGTGCACACTGTTCCTCACATGACGATCCTGATTTCAGTCCTGAATGCTCTTGCGTCAGTGATTCAACAGTCATCCTGAAGAAGGTCTTTGCGGCGTTCAGATCTGTTTGCCACGGGTTTAGCGCGTTTGCTGTGCCTGGGCAGCATACCTATAATACAGATCTTGTTTTTCCATCTGCTCCCACCTGAGTCGCAGGGTGTTGAGGCTCCAGGATGTGGACAGGGGATACTATTAAATGCTTCAATGGGACGGTTTAGGTGTGGGCATTCATTATTTAACTGAAAACACAGCACGACTGTGTACTTTTAAGACATGGCTTTACATTGCCAGAATTGCAGTGCACTCTGTGCTCCTTTGCTGGCTTTTGAAAGACAGACGCTAAGTGAAAAGCTGGGGGGTGGGGGGTGCTTATTTTTCCAGTGCTGCTTCTCAGTTTCGCTCCCAGTGGCTTCTAGATCTGACTCTCGGGGTGTGGAGACTGGCGCCCTGATGCAGGGGGAAAGGATCGATTGGATACAGCTTAACTTGCATTAGTCGTGTCCGAGCTGGCAGAGAGAGACTGCAACGTGACTGTCTGTGCAGCAGCTTCTGCTGGCTGCCCCCCCGGCAGGCCGGATGTGCAGGCGAGGCCCAGGGAGAGAGCTCGTTTCTCCAGTCGGGTGGGCCGGGGACGGGGGCACCTTGAAACTCATCCTGAGCTGCTGGCAAGCATCACCGTTTCATTTAGCTCCCTGGGCATTGAGATTACTCATACACTAGCCATGAGACCTCATACAGTATGTACATAGAGAAAAAAATAGCTACAAATAAGACGAGTCTCTCTTAATATTTATTAAAATCATTCATTTTTTATTTTTCAGCTTCCAACATGCCAGTTTCACTTCCTACACTTCTGCAAACACAACCCACAGCATTTTAGTCCTGACTGTCTTCCATTGACCTGTATTGTGCATTGGTAGTTCAGCATGTCCTTCTGTACGTTTAATTGATCTGTTTAATTGTTTGGTGAAAACAAAAATGGCCATGCTTTTATTTCTGCACACTGCACCCCTGAAAGTATCAGTTTTGCTGTGCAGTGGGCAGCTATAGCAGTGAGCACAGGCACAGAGCAGCAGTGCTGTAAATTCTTTTCAATGAAACAAGTATACTAAGCACAGTAAGTGAATGTGCTAGAAGTACACTCCATTACAGTCAGAGAGGCACTTTTTCAGTGCTGCTCAGGAGTCTTTTTTAGTATTTGGCACAGCACCTGTGTCTCTGAGCACTGCTTTGCACCTGTTTGCTTCTCCCCGGCAGTGACTATAATCTCACTTCAGCCCCCACCTTGATCCACACTCCTGCACTCAGGATCTCTCGCCGAAGTCCCAGCTCGGAGCCCGTGCAGACACCTCCTGGGGCTGTGGAGCAACTGTTGATGTCAGAGGCTGCTGGTGTCGGAAGTGTTTAAGGTTAACTTTGTCTCGTGTGAATTGCAAAAGCCTCTGCAATTAAAAGAACAAAAAGAATATGGCACAGAGGTCTGAACGAGTTCCCGAGCAGAGAGTCCAGCATGGCCAGGTCGCATGTCTAATTGTAATCTATCTTGGGTCCAGTTACCTATTACAGTTTGAAATGACAATTACTGTAACAGGCTTTTATTCGAAATGCATGCAGGACAGGAACTCTTAAGTAAGCACACTGTGTTACATTTTACCATGATTCATATTCACTAGTATACAGAGAAGTCAGCCTTCACCACAAATGTCATAAACATTGACAGTCGGGTTTCGAGAGGTGAGGTGTTCTTTCATGGAGCTACTGCACACATCTTGTGACCCTGCTTTTTCAGGGTTGGCTGAGCTTTTAAGGATCAGGTCTAGGTCTGTAATTAGGAGCCAGTTCACAGTGTTTGTTTAATATGCATGACTGTTTCTCAAGTTCCTTATTTAACATGATTTGAATTTTGCTCGGAGGGTGTTTTGCACATTTGGCTGCTGTGGCAGCCTGTGTTTGCTCAGGCTTTCAGTTTTCTAAGATAAAATCCTGGCTGCTCTTGGGGAAAAAAAGAGGTCAGCCAAAGTTGCTTTTCATTGTTTTCTTTTATTGAATGATACCAGTATATTAAAAAGCAAGATAGCCAAAAGCTATGACATTATAGGCCACTGTTGTCAGATCATTAAAGTTTCTAACAGACATTTATTTAAATGCTACAAATGGAAAGCGCTTTAAAAACCATCCTGCGCAGCAGCCTTGTGAAGCTGTTAAACTGCATTTTTATTAGGTTGCCTGTGCTGCAACAAGTCTTGGGTGTGAGCTTGTGGAATATTGCAGAAATCTGTTTTGGCTTTGGGTGGAAATCTTTTCCGAAGAATCATTCAGCTGGCCTGCCCTAGAGCAGTTTGGAGAGGTGTTTTTCGGAAAAGTTCATTCTGTTCCTTGGAGACAAAAACGCGTCCAGCCTGCTCCCCCTGCCTCCGGTTTAAGATGGTCTGTCCGTTCTGGCTCCGGGGGTCACAGAGGGTCATGCTTATTCTCTCATGTTATTGTTCTTCCAACGTTTAAGGCTGGAATCAATTTTCTAACTCTACTGCAATCTGGCAATGTCAAGGTTTGCTGGACTGAAAGTGACTTTTCCTCTGTTGGAAGTGTTGTTATAGCTGTGCTGTCTGTGCTCAGCTGACGGTCTACAGCTTCTTTCCTGGGGGGCAGAGCTGGCGTGTTTGTCGTGCAGCAGGTTGCCCACCCCGAGGCTGGTGTTGGCTGGCTCGTGTGCCTCATTCGGATTGGAAGCGCTGGCTGCCAGAGATACTCCCGCTGGGGGCTCGGTTTGCCAGCAGAGAGCCAGTAGCCCCTCGCCCTCCGGACGGCGAAGAGTTCGGTCTGGGAAGTGTGGTCTGGGGCAGCGGGGCCACTCTGCTTCGCACCCCCGCATCGTCGGCTGCGGGAGAGGCGTCTTTGCGGACAGGGGTGCATTTGCCTTTGGGGTATCGTGTGGATACACACGTAGTTTGGCGACTTGTGGAGGCCCTTTTGTGCGTGATCAGCACATGATCTCCACGCTCTGGATACTCTGGGCAGCTGTTCAAACCAACAGCTTTACAAAAGAACTTTTCTTTTTGCCTCATGGTATTTTCCGAGAAGTCTTTCATGTTGGTGTCGGTGGCCTCTGCATCGAAGCGACAGAGTGGGGACTGTCAGCCTTCCTTCATCCTCGTGCTTCGTTACACTGGTCTCAAAACAAAAGTGATTTTTCTGCTGTACAGTGAACGGCAAAACAAAACGTTTCCTGGAAAAATATTTCCTATGCTTGTTAGGAAATGCAGTGCTGTGCGTTTTCCAGACTAATGGGAGATGATGTGATGTCTCAGGACCTGGGAGAAATGGAAAGAGGAGGTCTGAACAAGTCTTTAATTACTTACTAGTTTTATAATCTGACATGCAATGCATTTTATTATCAGGGCCTTATAGCCACTGCCTTGAACCTAACTAGTCCTCCGACTGTGTTAGAAATTTGCCAGGTTAGAACAGACAAGAGTCAGATGTCTGTTCTGGACTTGATTTTACTTTAATTATCTGGCTGATGATCCATCAGCCCCCGGGGCTGAAGTAGCAAAGTCTTTTTTTTGTTGTTTTTGTTTACTTGTTAACTGGAAAGTGTTTGGAACTAATGAAGGGGTGACGTCTGGAGCCGTTTCCCTGTTGGTGTGTACCGAACTGTAGGGGGGAAAGTCCCAGAGTGTCTAAGCCCAGAAGTGGATAAATAGAAAAACACTTGAGCCCAGCCCACTACACAAACAGCCTGGAGTCACGCTGCAGGGCAGCACCTGACGGCCAACACAAGCAGCGCGAGCCGAGCCGGGAGCGTCTCCCCCGTTGACCCCCCTGTCCCCCCCCCCGCAGGCCTACGAGCGGCGGTTCCCCACCTGCCCTCTGATCCCCATGTTCGTGGACAGCGACGTGGTCAGCGAGTACAAGAGCGAGGACGGCGCGGTGCACGTGCTGGAGCGCCGCTGCAAGCTGGACGTGGACGCCCCCCGGCTGTTAAAGAGGGTAATGCACCTTGAGAACCCCTGAGCTACTGTACATACGTCCTCAATTGTCAAAACTGTTGTGTCTGTTAGTATGTAGGTATTCCACAGAACAGTGGTTTAAGGCATTTAGCCATTCCTTATTTATCGGCCCAAATGCAAATTGATTTGCAGGCAGGTCAAAGACATAACGCAATACACAATACATTAAACACAACATAAACACGCGGATAAATAAGAGACGTGCATGTACGATGGGTAAGGCTATATTTATAAATAAGCATTCATTTGTCCAGATTTAGCAGGTTAATAGTTGTGGGAATAAAAGTCAGTCAGTGATTATATTGGCCTTCCACACTATTTGTTTGACGTAGATGTGTGAATGCTGTAGCTGTTGTGCAGTAATAATTTGGCTGGCTACATTCACTGTCCTGCTCAGTCTGTTTTTATTGTGTGTGTTAAGGTTACCAAATCTGGCTATGGCAGAGACTGTTTGGACAGATTCAATGGAAGTTCTATGGAATAAAGTCATGACACAGTACACGTATTAAAAGAGTGTTTTCTTAGGAAGAACATTCACCATTGGCTTCTCTTACATATGGCATCCAGGCTTTCCTCAAAGGTTAGCTAGTTATCTGCAATAGTGCCAAGACATTTGTAACTGTTGACAGTTTCAACTGGTTGAATTTCATTGACTGAGCTCTATTACAAATAAAGTACTGAGCCACATCTCTGAAGCTCGGTGAGATTCCGAGACTGATTAGCTTGCCTGCATCAAGTTGCAAACACACAGGAAGCCATCGAACCTTTCCTATATCTTTCCAATTGAATAAACTCACTTCTGAAATTCAACACAGAGCCATGAATGTCCCCCCCCTCTCTCTCCCATCTGTGTGCAGATCGCCGGGGTGGATTACGTTTACTTCATCCAGAAGAACTCCCTGAACCGCAGAGAGCGGACCCTACAGATCGAGGCCTACAATGAGACGTTCTCCAACAGGGTCATCATCAACGAGTTGTGCTGCTACACCGTAAGTGAGCAAAACCCCTCCAGGCCAGCAGCAGAGCCCTCTTACACTGTCTGCTTAGTGCAATAAAACATTTCACAAAGGTAGAGCGGACGGGCCAGGTATCTATATCAAAATAGAAGTGTCACTTTTCTCTGTCGTGTTAAGGTGGCGTACTGGAAGCTATGGGCATGTAGGATACAGACCTCACAGGCTGTTACACTGCCTTTCAGCTCTTGGGTCATAATTTTATATTTGAAACAGAATTAAAAGGCAGGACTATAAAATGCAGTTCATCATGGAAACTTACTGAATATCTAAATTAGGCTCTACTCTCTACATCGTTCCAGAGATCTTGATTTCTTTTGAGTTTGTGTGGACTTTTAACAGTAGTGTATCTGTGCTTATTATAATTGTTTCCCTGTATTGATCTCATATCCTTATTTACTGTACAAAACATAACCCTCTTGACCAGGTCAGATCAACTTCCTGCGGATAGGGCTGAACTTGTTGATCAGAACAGGTTTTTGCTGTCAACTAAATCTGTACTGAAAACAACTAAGACAAACTGGCAAAGTCAAGGACTCTAGCAGAGTGCATTTTTTATAGCTGCTTAAAAATGTTCGTTAGATTGACATCTGTTTAGATCAATACGTGTTGGTTCCAGTCATTGGCTGAACACGCGTGTTGTGTGTCATTATGGCGTCAGCACTGCAGTAATCTTTGTTCCAGACAGTCGTATTGCACTCTACTTTAAAAAAAACAAACTCTGTGGTCAATGAAGAGAGCCCTGCAGTCTTCTGCTCCATAGTGCGTTTGTGGCAGGCTTTATGTAAAGGAGAACATTTGTGAGATTCATTCTGAATTTGATAGGTTGCCCAGACTTCTTCCAAAAACCCATTGGATGACCCGAATGGTCTCGTCTTGTTTTAAAACTTTGTCCCAAAGCAAGCTAGCCAAGGTACAGCTGTTCACCTGATGTTCCCTGACCAGATGAATTTGTGTGTGCACAAAGCTGTGAATTCTGAGCGTGGAATTTGTTTCTGTTTTTCCAATATGGCTTGGGGGCACCAGGTTCACCCAGAGAATGAGGACTGGACTTGTTTCGAGCAGTCAGCAAGTCTGGACATCAAGTCTTTCTTCGGCTTTGAGAGCACAGTGGAGAAGATTGCGATGAAGCAGTACGCCAGCAGTATTAAAAAGGTACAGGGTTCTGGGGAGCTGCAGGGTTACTGCGGTTTCATGTCTGTCAGTGGGGTATCCAGTATTCAGCTAATCCATTGCCATCTGTCTTATCTTCTTGCGGGAACAGTGGTTTTCTCCCGATGACAGCTCATTGTGGAGTTTCACATCACTCGCACATCTTTGTCTTGAATAGTGTTATTTTCTAGCTGATACTTCTCATTCAGATTCTTCCAATTATAAGGAGGATTTTCTTTTGTTTTCTCCTAAATCTCGGGTGTAGTTTGACAGGCTCTGAGCCGCCTGATGTGAAAGTGAGCGAGTCCAGGGCTGGTGCTGCTCAGGGCCTGTGGGAGCAGTCCTTCTGTGGTCATTTGAAACGGCTGGCCAGAGGGAGGGACAGGGATGAGCTTGTCATGAAGGCACGTGTGGGATGCACAGTCACTGTTGTTCTTACTGCTGCTGCAGGGCAAGGAGATCATCGAGTATTACTTACGAGAGCTGGAGGAAGAAGGCGTGACCTGGGTCCCCCGCTGGACCCCTCCCGTCTCTCCTGCCAAGACCAGCGCCACTGCCAGGCCCGAGCTGCCCGTCTCCCCTGCCATCAGCATCCCCACTGCCAGCACCAAGGAGAGCCAAAGCAGCAAGGAGGCATCCAGCCTGCCCGGCAGCCTCACTGAGCCCATCTCAGGAACGCCCGACGGTCAGCCCTGCCGCGCCCTGCCACACCACACCGCAGCATCTCCTGCGAGCGCTGCGGGAGTTCGCTTGGCATGAGCGCCCTTGCTCCTCGAACGGCGCACAGCGGTCCCTGCCTGCGCTCAGTTCCGCTTCCATTCCGCAAATATTTTAAAGCTTTAACATTTTTGGCTTTTAAAAAAACAAGCCGCTAAAAACACGACTTTCAGTCGCTTGTGGATCTTTATCAGGATGCTCTTTTTTTTTTTCCCCCAAGCTGCAACTTGAGTCCTCGTGTCAAGTTAGAATATTGTGAAAGGACTACGAAAACAGAAACGTTCCGGGTGGTGTTTTTATCTGAGCATCATTCAATAATTAAGGACACTTTTCATGTTGCAGACAAACTGGACGCTGATTACATCAAGCGCTACCTGGGAGACCTGACGCCCCTGCAGGAGAGCTGCCTGATCCGCCTCCGCCAGTGGCTGCAGGAGACGCACAAGGGAAAGGTAAGCACCCGGTACCGCTGGCCGGGCCTCTGGACCTCATGCTCCTCGCCCGATACTGCTCACTCAGGCCTCCCGGCAGAAGTTTCAAACTGGAAACCAGCCATGTGAGATGCTAGCTGGTGGTTTGAATTCAGAATGTCAGCATTACAATAACGGCATTGCATTGTGGTGATACAAATGCACCCCCCGGCTCCCATCCATTGATCTGTTGTGGGTTCAAGGTTATCTCATTCATTTTCTGTTTTTGCACAACATTATATAATAGCTTTTGGTGTCAGTAGTTCACATAATTCCTGCTCCATTTTTTTGTATCCAGTTCTTGCATTTTGTTCTGTTTTTCTTATGAGGTATTGAATTCAGCAGAGATGTTCTTGCAGTAATTAAAATGTTATAATACAGTGGCTGCTTTACACCAGACTGTCACTTTCCTGGGTGCAGGCAATGCACAAAACCTTGACCTCGTTGTGACTGTCCTGTCCTGGGTGTGTTGTTGACCTTGGCCATTCAAATCTCCTGAACCCTGGACCTTTGTTTTCCAGATCCCGAAGGATGAGCACATCCTGCGATTCCTGAGGGCGCGGGATTTTAACATCGACAAGGCGAGGGAGATCCTGTGTCAGTCCCTCACCTGGAGAAAGCAGCATCAGGTGGACTACCTACTGGAGACCTGGAGTGCCCCCCAGGTCCTGCAGGATTTCTATACTGGGGGCTGGCACCACCATGACAAAGGTACACCTCCACACCCTGCCCAGCATCCTCTCCACTAGCACAGAGCTGCTGTGAAAACCCTGGATTACCCAGCTTTAATCTACTGATCCAAGCATTGTCTGAAGAGCTATAACATGTTTAAATTGGGACATTGTGTGCTGACTAGGGTGACCTGGTTTTTAGGTGTTTGTGATTTTTATTTGACCCTTATAAAAAAGGAAAGGCCATTATTTTCATCATTAGTTTCCACATGTAACAAAGCTCATTGAGCCGAAAACAGATGAGTCTTTTTGTACACATTTTTGTCATGTTTCCAAATTTGCTGCCACAGAAGAAGTCATTCATGCAAAAACAAATCTATTAAAAAAGTATCTTTAGTACAGATTTTTTGTAGGAATTGAGACTAACCATTGATTGCGGTTACTGGTTAGCAAAAAAAATCTGAAAAACAAGAACTCTCACAAAGTCTTTCTCTGATGACGCAAGGAAGGGGTTGAAGTCTCAAAGATTTGAGTAGTGTGAAATAGGATTTTTCCTCATCGGTTTCATCGTTTGTCTCCAGTCAGTGAGGAGGCGAGTCTTGTGATTCTCATGTGGCCAGCGCTGTCGTTATTAGCAGGGTCTAACCTGTTGTTCCAGACAGTGCTCTAACTGTGCCCGAGTTCTGAAATGACCTCTGGAAACGATTCCCAGGTGTTTCCATCCACTCCAAAGCCTCTTTCTTCTTGTGGGACATCTGGGTGCACATTAAAACTTGTTTGCATACTGTTTTTTTTGTTTGCTTATTATTTTTCAGATTGGGCGTTGGTAGGACAGGGCAGAAGGGGATTGCAAATGGTTTGCGTATCACAAACGCCTACCATTTTAGTTCAGAGTAGAAAATCCTCCTTTATGTGGATTCATTGTGTAAGGTTTCGTTTGCAGAATTGTCGGAAATGTTCCCTAGGAGAGCAGTGACCAGTCCTGAACCACACGTTCTGTACCAGTAACAGCTGGTCATCGCTGAGTACGTCAGTGGGCTGCTTTGACTCAGAGCTGCTTATAAAACGTTTCGATCTTCTCAGTCTCACGAGAACCTGCTTCATTCACCACGAGAAGGTTATGAGTTGAGAGAAGATTAATCCAGCAGAGTGAAATTGATCCGGTTGGGTCTCGGAAATGATCCGTCTTTGCCGGGAGCCCAGCTGAGTCAGGGTGGAAGTGCCAACATGCTTTTGTGATTCATCTCATTTGAAATAGACGCCAGTGAATTGGTGCCAACCAGGGGGCTCAAGCAGTCCAGGAGACGCTTCTAAGATCTTGCAGCTATATTTCTAAGATCTTTGCACCAAACTGCCAGAATCAAACACCCTGGCCATGGACCCCCCAAAAAGAAAATAAAGGTCACGTTTATTATTGGCTCCTGTAGTTATTGGTCTGATCTTTCTGGATCAAGTCCACATCAATAGCAGATGTTCTCCGGACTTGATCTGACCGCCCTGGAAAGGGCAGACTGTGTCAGCTCTCTTCACCTGGCCGTCATTGAGCTTTGCGCCCTGAAAGGTCAGGCCCCGTCTCACGTCCGGCTTTGCGTTTCGGCAGATGGGCGCCCACTCTACGTGCTGCGCCTGGGCCAGATGGACACGAAGGGGCTGGTCCGAGCCCTCGGGGAGGAGTCTCTGCTGAGACATGTAAGGGAACACCCCCGCCCCCCCCACCCTCCGCCTGCCGCCCTTTCAGCTCTTGATCGCGGAGAGCAGTTTTAACTGGCGCCTCTTGTCCTTCAACACACAGGTGCTTTCTATTAACGAGGAAGGGCTGCGACGATGCGAGGAAAATACCAAAGTCTTTGGTAGACCAATAAGGTATTGTGAGCTAACATGTTCAAAGTATATATTGTTTAAGCTCTCCAGACGTTATTCATGCATATCTGAGAACCGATGTCAGTATATGGTCTTCTGTTGAAAGGTTATCGATTGCTCTAATGTGTACAATTGCACAGTGATTCCAATCTATGAAGTACTTGTTGTGAAAATTAAAATGCTGTTGAGTATGTTTGTAAAAAATGCTATACAGGCCAGTCAGTGTCTTATTCGTGTTATAAAGCTTGCAGTTTGTGCAACATGGCTCCAGCTCGAAGTTCCGCGTGTTTACCAGTGAAGCACTATTTAGGTGTACACTTGTGAGCTTTATTCTGCAAGAGCCCAGCAGCTGAAAGGCTGGCCAGATTGGGTCACTGCCTCACGATGGGAGGTTGCTGTGGTGGTGGTGTGGCTCCCTCTGCCTGTCCTGCCTGGCTCTAACACCCAGCCTGTCTGCCCTCTCCCTCCCCTCCCCGCCCGCCCGCCTGCCTGCTCAGCTCCTGGACCTGCCTGGTGGACCTGGAGGGGCTGAACATGAGGCACCTGTGGCGACCCGGAGTGAAGGCCCTGCTGCGCATCATCGAGGTGGTGGAGGCCAACTACCCCGAGACCCTGGGGCGGCTGCTCATCCTGAGGGCCCCCCGCGTCTTCCCAGTGCTCTGGACCCTGGTAACCACTCCGCCTCCTCTCCCTTCCTTCTGTACTCTTGGGCTGTGAAGTTGTTTTTAATTCCTTACATAAAATGTCGGGTTCGCAAGTGCGCCCGCCTTCTTGCCCCTTCAGCTGTAGCCGGTGTCCTTTCTGGCCTGCCGTAGCTCTGCCTGCGGTCCAGAACCAGTGTGAGACCTCCCGAATCCTGTCCTTCGCAGGTCAGTCCTTTCATCGACGAGAACACCCGCAAGAAATTCCTCATCTACGCAGGCAACGACTATCAGGGCCCGGGAGGCCTGGTGGATTATATCGACAAGGAGATCATTCCCGACTTCTTGGGGGGGGAGTGCATGGTAAGGGAGGCGCACTATTCAGTGAGTAACCTGAATGTTACTGAATGGCGGTGATTCAACTTTTTGAGCTCAAAAGCACATGATGTTGTTATCCAGCACATTTATTGTGATGTTCATATTCCAAAGCTGCTGCCTTTTATTGTAGCGACAGTGTCTTTATTATACTCTTCTTTTTGCTTATTCAGACACTGAGTGCAATGTCAAGGCTCATAATTACTGCAGTTCTGTGCCTCAGCACTTTAAATGTGTTGTCTGCTGCCACCTGCAGTTTGGCATCACAATTACATGAATTTCTGGACTGAGAGCTTTAATTTGGTGTTTTTCCAAAATATATGCAAGGAAGTCTTGTTTAGTACATCAGTAAAGAGCACCAGGACCTGGAGAGCAGTGGAGCCCTTTCTTAACAAGTAGCTGAACACTCCTGCTGTCTTTTGACTGTACACTTAGAAAGTCCAACAAGGAACAGTGTACAAGGGAGGAATAAATCTGAATTTTGTTACACCCTGCCATTCCTAGGTTTCTTCCGGGGATAAATGGATTTTAAGAGACAGTTTTTATTTTACTTCCTAGTGTGAAGTTCCAGAGGGGGGGCTGGTGCCCAAGTCTCTGTACAGGACGGCGGAAGAGCTGGAGAACGAGGACATCCGCCTGTGGACCGAGACCATCTACCAGAGCGCCAGCGTCTTCAAGGGAGCCCCGCACGAGGTACCCGGCCGCGCGAAAGGTGCCGAGTCAGCAGTACTTGGCGTCTTGTATGGCCTGTCAGGGAAGGCAGATGTCTGTACCCCAGGCATAGAAGTATTGTGATAAAAGCTTGTACAGCCTTTCTTTAAGGGATGCTGACCAAAAGAAAAAAACTTCGGGCTCTTTCCAAAGTGCTGCTTTTTTTCCTCACAGGAGTATTCGTTCTAGCGAGTTATGCCATCTGCCGTCTGTACATCGCGTTCGTTCGTGTTCTTGCACTGATAAGGTGGGCGTCCCTTGAGACACATGGCAGGGGGTGGCATGAGCAGAAGTGTTTCTGAGCATGTGATGTTGAATCACTCAGGCCTGCAGTGGTGGGGGATGCTCTGCAGTCGCCTCATTGATGCTGAAGCACTGCTTCACAGAAAGCCTTGGTTTGCTCTTTCAGCTGCTGATTGAAATTATCGATGCCTCCTCCGTCATCACCTGGGACTTTGACGTGTGCAAAGGCGACATAGTCTTCAACATTTTCCACTCCAAGAGAGCCCCCCAGCCCCCCAAGAAGGACACCCTGGGGGCCCATGGCATCACCTCGCCTGGGGGGAACAACGTGCAGCTGATCGACAAGTCCTGGCTGCCGGGGCAGGACTACAGCATGGTGGAGTCGCCGCTCATCTGCAAGGAGGGAGAGAGTGTGCAGGTAACCAGTTAGGGGCTGTTCCCGAGCCCACTTTCGAGATGTACTGAGCGCAGTGAGTTCTTTAAATTCCTGACCTCCCTTGAACTCGTTCGTGTGGAAGGGATAGACCATAAGCTTTGCCTGATAAAAACTATCAGTCCTACCTCACCGCTGAAGGTTTGTTATAAAATATCGGATCTGTCGTCACTACATGTACATTAGATAAAGGTCTCGGACTAGATTTCGTAGTTCTTGGTTTTACCAGGTGTTAGCTGTGCTTTGTTGCCGGTTCATTGCCAGGGTTAGCTAGAGGGGCACCAGTGCTCCAGCCAGTCCTTGGTGTTTGTCTCGTGACGCCCAAGAGAAGCTGTGTGCCGCCTCCTCGCTCAGCCCCTCCCTCCCCTGCCTACCCGCAGGGATCCCACGTGACCCGCTGGCCAGGCTTCTACATCCTGCAGTGGAAGTTCCACAGCACGCCGGCCTGCGCCGCCACCAACCTGCCGCGGGTGGACGACGTGCTGGCCACGCTGCAGGTCTCCTCGCACAAGTGCAAAGTCATGTATTACACCGAGGTGCTGGGCTCGGAAGACTTCAGGTAAGGCCTCCCGCCGTGGTGAGCCGGCAGGAACCACTACCGGTAACCTGGGGTTCTGGGCGGCCGCCCCCTTTCCATCCCTTCTGCTTTTTGTTTTTGGGTTCGCGAGTCCAACCGGCAACAACAAGGCCAATTTCTGAACCCTAGAATACTGGAACAAACGCAAACGAATGGTATCACTTAAGAAATGCCCAATCCTTCTCTCTTTCACCTGCGTCGTGGTCTCCTCCTCGGGCCTGCGCTGCCGGCACCCGGGCATGTGGAACAGGGAAAAGGGCAAACCCGGGTGAAAGGGTAGTCTTGTGCCATTAGCAGTCCAAAGGGTGCAGGGCATTGACATGTGGGAGTTCACGAGCACAAGGAAACCTGAAGCGGTGCTGCATCAGTCCTTGAAGCTCGGTATAAGAGGGGGAAGAGCCAGCACATTATGGCGCTCGCTGAGCCTGGCGTCCCGAACTGCTGCTTGGGGCTCTTCGCCGCTCTTTACAATCAATGCAAAGTTCATTTCTGCCACCCACCACTTCAGATTTCTGCTAGCTTACGTGCTGGCCTTTTGTTTTCTAGATTAAGAGTGATTTGTCCAGGTCACATGTACTTGTTACGCTGCTTTCAATCGATCTGGAGGGATATCAAGCTTGACTATTGCAAAGCAAGAACGAACAATTAAATCTGTTTACATGGGGTATATTTTTTTAGACTAAGTAGTATTTTTGGGGAAAAAAAAACATTTTAAGGAATGGGATGATAACAAATCCACTTTGTGCATTCGGAATTAGCACACGTTTTCCAATCAGTCTTTATTTTTCTTTCTTTTATAAAGAAATGCTTGCTGTGATGTGCAGAGTTTGTAAGTCGATTTGATTTTATTTGGTTGCTTTCTGCTCTCGGCTCCTGCGCTCTCTGGACTAGGGTCGTGGGTGTTTTACAGTCGCTGTCTTAGGGTGGTGAGACGCTGGGTTACTGCAGGCGACTGGTCTCCTCCGTGGTCTAGGAGCAGCCTCTCCCTGGCCAGGCGAACTGAACAGCTCACGCCCGGGGGCTGTTTCCTCCCCCCTTCCCCCCATTCAAAGGAAGGTTCCCTGGATAAGGAAGAGGTGTCGGCTGTGTCATTTACCTTGACTGTTAACAGAAACAAGAGTTTTCGGGGCAGCGTGGGTGTAGGGTGAGTCTTCTCCCCTGGAAACAGTGAGATGACACCTCTAGCACCATTAAACGTTTGAAGTGCTGCTAATGGGTCTGTGTGCATTTTCAACCTATTGCACACAGGAGGAGGTTAGAATATACATATAGATTAATATATTAATATATCGGCACCCTTATTTATAGATTTTGATCACAGTGGTCTGTTGAACACGACAAGATGCAGTCGCACTGTGATCCCGGGTTCAAGCGTGGGTCATGTCACTAGCCAGGATTCTCCAAGTGAGAATGCTCAGTTGTCTAAGCCCTGAAGAGGGCGGTGTGGCATTAGCAGGGGCACGGCACTGGTAGCATCTCCAGGTGGCACTGATGGGTCTGCACTGCCCGTGGACGACTGGCTCGGAGGTGGGCGGGTCGAAGGAGCCCCCCCGCACTTACTCATTCTCCCCAGCGTCAGGGCCAAGGGGTTCGTCACTGCGAGCCGACACACGGAAAAACTCAAAACCGACCATCCCACGTCATGTGGGCATAACCAAAAATAAAAATGAACAAAAACAAATCAGATGGTGAAGTGCTGGTAGAATAAAGTCTGAATGTCTTTGAACATAAATGCCACTGTACTGAGAGATCAAGAAATCTGGCAGGAAAGATCAGTTGAAAAATGAGTGCACTCATTAGATTAGTGGTATACCACTTACGTTTTAATTTTCACATCTGTAATGAAGTGTGAAAGTTTGCCAGAAGCTCCTTCCTTCAGTTATTGTGCTGGTTATACTTTAGTGTAACTCAAATGCTTAAGTAACAAATTCCCAGGCAGTAATTTACAGGTCAGCACACCTGTGCTATAAAGACCTACGCCTCACCTTTGATTTCCAGTCAGCTGGAGCTCCACACCTCTTCCCTTCATGAAAAACTTCCTTTGTAGAGGGCGTGAAGAGTCTTGTCTTTTAGCATGTAGTGCTGTGGCCTAGTTTCCTGTGCCGAGTCTTTCAGATTGCCTGTGTGTGTCTGCTGTGATGTGCCGTGGATCAGTAGGGGGGTCTGTGGTTAGAGCTGGGTGTTGCCGGCGAGGATCATCGGAGGGCCCTGGTTTTCCTTTTGGTTTTGTTTTTCTCTTTTTACTGACAATGCATGACTGACAGTAACTGTGCATACCTGACTGAACCTGGGGATGGTCTCTTCACACGGGGGTGACTGGCCAAGCCACAGTGTTTTGGGGGACCGCTTCTCATAAGCCTTAGGATTCTGTGCCTGTTGATAAGAAAGCAGAGCTGATGATCATCACTACAAATGAGCCCCAAAATATTTTCTAACTTTAATTTGGCTTTGCAGTTAACACTGGAGCTCTGTGCATCTCCATCTCTGTTTCCAGCTCCTGCAAGGCCATTAAAATAAAATTTGATTTACTTCACTGACTAGGAGTCCCTGACATGGGAAGGTCTGGCTTCAGCTCGTAATTGCCACATAAGGAAAGATCAATTGCCCCTTAATGAGCTTCAGAAATCCTGGTGCTTTCTAGAGAAGTGAGGCACTGTGGTGTTCGAGGCAGGCTGGCCAGCCCCCTTGTCTGCTCCCTGTACTCTTGCTCCTGCTCCTGGGCTCCGTGCTAACAGTGTGTTCCTCTCTCTCTGCCTCACAGGGGCTCCATGACCAGCCTGGAGTCCAGCCACAGCGGATTCTCCCAGCTGAGCTCCGCCACCACCTCCTCCAGCCAGTCCCAGTCCAGCTCCATGATCTCCAGGTAGTGCGGCGTGCCAGTGGGAGAGCAGGGCAGAGAGCGCCCCCCGGGGGAGGAGAGACGGGACTTTGCCGGAGCTCAGGCACGACCCTGCGCTGCTCCGTTCGTCCTGCACCCCCTGCACCCTGCTCACAATGAAGAGCGCGCCTGCACAATAAAACCAGAAACGATCTACAAAGCAAGAATCATGTCATAGAAGGGCTCCGTTTTGCACCAGGAGATGCGTTTTCCTGGCAACCAGTTAGGAAACAAATCAACACATTAACACAACAGTTTTCGACGTGCTGCGAGTTTAATAACACAGCAGTGACAAAAAGAAACTTTTCACAAGACGTGGAAAAAAAACCATTGCGCTGTGAAAACAGGACGTGTTGTAAGCCACAAAGCACATTTTTTTATTTTGCCGCCTGGAATGGAACTTGTATGTCATGGATTGTACATAGGTCAAGCTTGGAGAGAAGTGGTTAGAAGTAGCCAAAAATCTGCCATTAACAGTAGAAACTGCATTTTTTTGTTGTTAGAAAAAGATGGAGGTGAGTCGTTTTGTGACTTGGGTGCTATATTTAGTAAAACAATAAATGCTGGAGTGCAGCTCGAGAGTTATCTAGGGGTCTCTGGGCAAATGTGTCCATGCCACTGTGTTAGAGTCGCGAAAATACACGAAATACAGGTGGGAATGGACATTAGAGAAGTGGATCCCATCGTGGTGCCGGAGTCCCAAACACCTGCGGGTCTTTAGTCCAGCCACGCTCTCTGACCCCTTAATTGATTTAATCAAAGGATTGATTTGAAACGCTTGACCGTCTTCAGGTCTTATCCCTGTTGGAGGTGGCCCATGAACTATTGCATTTCCTAGGTAGCCTAAAAGCTTTCAAATGTTCCTAGACACCTGTTCGTTCGGGCAAGGCGTCAATTAAGTGATTAAGCTGGGCTGGAATGAGATCCAGCAGGTGTGGGGGGCTTTTGCTTCAGACGCTCAGTTGAATTACTGATTTAAAAAGTCCCAGACTGCCTCCCATTAATCTGTAACCTGCGTTTGTATGGAAAAGCCTTTTCATTGACTAACAGTGAAATTCTTGCCTCTCACTGCAAAATAAAAATTAGTGGCCACTCATGTATCAATATAGACTTTAACCAAAATGCTATCGTCAGTTAAATATGTCATCGCCCTATATAGTTTTTAAAACTAGAGGGGAGCTTGTTTATACCCGGTCTCATCCCTGCAGTCCTGGCCCAGCTACAGTGGCCGACCAGTGTTCCCAGTGCGCTCACATTCAGGGAGATCAAGACTGTCCGGGGGGGGTCTCGGGCAAGAGAGCGTCCCAGAGCCGTGAGAGTTCGGGAGCCACGTCGCGGCTTCTGCGCAGTAACCAGCGGCCTTTTATTCAGCGCTTGGCAGCAGGAGGGCCTGACTGAACTCGGCGAGAGTCGCGGGAGGCGTGAATTAGGAGGCAGCTGTAGATGAAGGCAACATGGATTCCAGGCGAATCCCAGCCTATGTTTCACTGGCTGAAGGGCACGGGAGAAGCAGTTTTTCTTTCCTTAAATGTCGGTGTGATCACTCCAGCGGCTGCCTTTCGAAAGGCTGCTTTTCTGTCTTTCTAAAGACAGAAGCATTTTCTCAAAAAGGCCGTTCTAAAAAGACGGAAAATTAGGTTCCACGAAAAATGAATGCTGACTAAGATGATCATTTTAAAGAGTGGCTGATACATGATAAATGAACACTATAGTCCCAGATTCTGGCATGCTTGCCCTTATTACAAATGTATAACATGAATACATTAAAGTTATATAACAATGGGAATGCAGTTAACCTCTAAACTGTCTAACCTCCGAAGCACAATTTATCTCATATTTACAAAGGTCTTGCAGGTATTTCTCTTGATAGCCTTGCAAATCAGTGAACCATGCATTTCAGCTACAGATTTTTTAAATGGTATTTTTACTTTCGAAGGTCTATCGTAAAGTTTGTGGTGTTTTAGAGCTGCTCACAGACAGTTAAGATGGACTTTTTGAGATGACGCTTTTTTTTCCTATGAAAATCTGGAACAGTGACATTTACTGGTCATCACAACGCCAAACAAAATGACAAAGATGGACTGATAGAAAAGAGCATCCATGACATGTCATGGATCAAATTCTGGAGGTATTTGGCTAACCCAGATTAGAAAGTAACTCAGTTTTCTAACAGCTTTTTTAATGTAAATGTATCTACTTTGAAGTGAATATATGTATGTATAGATCATTTGCAATAACAAAATGTTGCTGTACAGTGTAATTAACCCTTTTGACAAGATGTCTTGGTGGTGTCCATGTGAAAACCATTTCATGGTCAGGCTTTCTAATTTTCACCCATAGGCTTTATTAATGGCTAAAAGCATACTATTTGTTTTCCTCTTTTATTTCTTCAAATGGAATGTCTCTCTTCATTATGGTATGTTACCAGCTCAGATGTGACTGCACAATATGTATCCGTTGCAACCTTTGACGTTGAAAGCACACAATCGTCGCAGTGAGACTGCCAGCTCCTCTCAGTCTCAGCTTCCGAGACTAGTCTACTTTCAGGTGTGCCCCTATTTTCTCCACTGTCCCCACGCCTTTCTGCTTGTTGTACCTCCTGTTGTGACTTTGTGTGTCTCGGACATGACATCGGTGCCTTGAGGTGCTCTTAACCCCTGTGTCTTCCCCATCAAGACACCTGTTACATGCTGCTTCTACCAAGGCGACAGTGTGGAACCAGACCCCTGCTCACGGAAATGGACTGTTCCAGTTCTGAGGAGGGGTGTCCACTCTGTAAATACCCCCTCGTGGCAGCAGATCAGAAGTGATCTGTTCAGAAGTTTAATCTTTTTTATGAGCTGGAGAACTTCTTGTCCATACCTCCAAAAGAAAAGTGATGAAGTCTCTTAGATGCTGTACATAAAGTTAATTATCACACCCTCACGCTTTTATGAATGGATTTGTCCATTCACATATGCTTACAGTGAGATTCCTGCAAACCTCTGGTTTGTCTTGGGAGAGTAACTCCTGGCCACAGTGTCTCAGGAAATAACCCTTTCTGACTTATCTGAAGTGATAACAACTCATTCTGGCACTAACACTTAGCAGTGAGCTTCAATGAGATGAAAATGTGTTAGGGAAAACGTGAGGGATAGACTAAAAACGTGCATCTGAGTTCGTGTCTGATTTGGGTGTTAACAGAAGAGGAAATAAGCATCCTCTTTGAACACCTTTGATTTTAGTTTTGTTAGCTATAGTTCAGGGATTTATTCAAATCAATTTTAATAAACAACAGGGAAATTTGCGTGATTTGAACTATTCAAGTCAGTCTAAGATTCTATAGTCGTGATCCAAGTTAAAGTCAGGAGAATGAAAGCCATTTCTGTAAGTAGATGCAAAAGTAGAATCTCTGAAAAGAAAAACTACTACAAATACTTGAACAGTGCTTGGAAACAAGATTCTCTTCTGCAGCTGTGCTGTTGAAAAAATCATTGCTTGTGCAGAGTTTATGAAGTCTATTTAAATGTTAGTATTTATTTGTAAACCTTTTTTATCTCTGCTTTGCTGAATCAGTGAATCTTTGGAAGATGGAATTAGCTAGATTTAAGAGTAACATTGTGCTGGAGTTTTGCTCAAGGATTGTCCAGTTTTGGTGGGGGATGCAGGAATAGCTGTTCTGGGAGGAGGTGTTTCATACTGCTCTGCAGTCGAATTTGAATGGAGTTTCTGATCAGTTCTGCACCCAGAGCACCTGTCCTTTGCTCAGTAAACCTGAAAGCGACACCTCTCTTGTCACTCCTATAGTCTCTCCTTCTGTCAGCCTTTTGTTTTCTACAGTATGCATATCTACTTCGCTGAGGGTTTGTTTTCAGTTGTGTTTGAGTTAATATACACAAATGAAATAGCGCCTTTAAATATTTTTAGAAATCTATTAAACTTGAATTCTGGAGAGAAAAAAGGTGTCTTCTATTTATTTGACAGATCTACTGCAGCAACCAGCAGCATTCGTGCATTGATAAATAAACATTGATTGATTGGGTATTTGCTGAGACGTTCCATATGTAAGGAACTCCAGGTATGCAGTTGTTCTCCTGTTTTCCCGAGATGTTTAAGGATGTACAGATGCCACATCCCTAAGGTTATTTTCGCCCAGAAGATTTATGCTTGGTACATGTCGGCAGAGACCCTGTGACCCTGCTCAGGACCAGCTGCCTGAACAGGATTGGATCATCACGCACATCGAAGGAACTGGAAAGCCACTTCTATAGTGCAAGCGCTTGCAGCTTCCATCCTGGAGAGAACCCATGTTTTTTGGGGGGGGGTTTACTTAAATCGGTCATTACCTATTTTATTTAGACTTACCTGCCAAGGTCTCGGCCCATTTAAGGAGACCTACAAAACCAGCAGGATTTCTTATCCAGAACTAGACATGTAGACCCCCTGCCGTCGAAGACCAATATCATGACATTACGCGTAGTGTCCACTAGATGCCGCTCTTACGCTTTGCACAGACGCTCTAAGTTACAATATGACCCAAATCTGTTTCGGTTTTTACCGCTTCGAAGTGCCAGATGGCCAGAGTCCGACTGAATTGACCCCAGCTGATCTACGAGGAAAAGGAACTAAAGCAGGTGAGTTATAATCCTCACATCTGAGCATTAAAAATCCAAATACCTCCCGCCGGATGATGTGCGTTTCTGGCAACTGAATGAAAACCTATTAAAAAAACAGAGGGAGCAATTTTAAGACCGCACTGAAGCTTCTGAAACGATCAGAAACGTATTTAATGTACAACGTATTAATGTTTCAAAGTCTACATTCTCGGGGAAATATATTGTTCAAGCTATACGTGTCATTTTAACAAACTTAATCATTGCAATCGACGGCAGCGCTCTTCTTTCAAAGCGGGGCTGACCGGTCCTGACGTATCGGAAATGACGCAGCCGCGGCCGTGTTTCAGGAAGAACGACCTGCTGCAGCAGCTGGGAGAGAGAATGGCAGGCGGTTGGTCACATTGTGTGGGTTTAGAAAAGCCGGCAGTGCCGCAGGAGGAGGTTGTCAAGCAGTGGGAAAGGTTAGAAACCCAAAAGCTCTCCAGTGAGCATTTTGTCTAAATAAATACCCGAATTCGGCCGAACTGGGTTCCTTACGGGCATTATACAAGCTGTGCAAAACTATTTCCCTGCAGAATGTCCTGCAGCAACAGCTCTGCGCTCGGTTCAGTGAAACACCCGTGCTGCCTCACGGAACATCTTTACACTGTAGTGAAAACCTAAAAGGTGTTGACTTCTCGACAGACGTCGGTGTAGGTTTCGCAAATACCTAGAGGGGGTATAGACTGTGTCCGAAAGCGTTGGCACAGTCCGGGAAGAGTCGATACGTGTGGGGAAGTGGAAAACCTCAGAGGAAGTATAGATTATAGATATATTCTCGGCCTGAGAAGTATAGGGCAACACCTTACTGTTAACCTGGGTCCTCTTAACACACGTAACTGGTGACGGAACACTATCTGTGCCGAGGTGAAACATATCTAGCTGTCGAGAACGGCAGGTGGAAAGTAACAACGGTGCTTTCCAGGACAGCTCTTCTCTCTGTAGGTCTTCATTAGTGATTTCATGGGGAGAAGTAAGAAACTAGGTCAGCTTTGTAAGAGCTTGATGATTAAAGACCTAAAACAGTGGCTTCAAACCCTTGTCTTTCAGGTGCCTGTGTCTTCTCCGCATTTGTTCCAATACAGTTCTAATTAGGCTAATTGACCTTTAGTTGCTCAGCTTCGTTTTCATTTCTTAAGGACTTGCAGGGTGTTATGAACTGGAATCAAGCCTGAAACGAGCTCTGGGTTTCACACCAGCTCTTAGTCGGGTGCGAAAAGGGGCAGTAAACGAACCTGTAGCCAGCAGAGAGTTTTTGATACCCTCCTGTGTCCAGGCATCCCTAATTGGTCATCCCATACGTGTTTGTCCATAAACCTTGTTGTAATAAATCTGAGGAGTGAATGGTGTTGGGTTCTGTTGCTGAATTTCTTCACAAAAACAACCCTACTGTGAGTTATTCTTGAAACTAAAGACTGAGCGTAGAATCAGGGTGAAAAACTCTTAATTAAGCAAGAATCTCAATTAGAGAGATCAACTGGACTGAGATTAAGAGCTCCCTCTGAAAAAAAGCAAACAAAGTTTCCTCCAAGACCAGGGTTGCAAAGACGGCAGATGAGCAAGACAGTTCTCCTCTTGAAAGTGTTCTGTGTGGAAGAAATCTACTCCTCTGTTGACAATACCCAGTCTTACAGTCTTCATATTCCTCAGAACATAATGGCTTCATAATTATCACTTGTGCAGGCTGTACTTGACAAGTGGAACCTATGAAGTGCATTTAAAACCAAAAACAGGAAGCACTTCTTGTTCGTGGAAGAACGGAACATGACACCTGGCCATATTGTTGATGCTGATATCTTTGCTTCTTTTTAGAAAAATGGTTGAATGAGGTTCTTGGATCAATTAGGTACCTGCTGGTCAGAAAGACCTGAACTGTAATTTGCATACTGCACAATTGTCAAACTTTGTAGGGCCTGTGTGTCTGTAGGTTTCTTTAGGCACATGCAGTGCTCGGAGAATTTGTAAAGCTTGTCCAGGTAGTCCCCAGAAGATCCCTGCTGTGCATGCAGAGCTGCAGCAATGGACTCGAACTCCATCCACACCATCTCTTTTGAAAGATCCTCTCCAAATTGCTCATCCATTCACAGTAAACCCTGTGGTCTTTCTTGGATAGTGAATGAGCATTAGTGCAATAAGTGCTGCCCATTTCAGATCTGTTTATTTAGCTTTACAAAAAATGCCATACCAGCAGGTGCTTTGTTGTACTACAATATAAATAACTTTTTTTCATTTACAAATTGTGTGCAGTCCCTGTGTTCTGTTTTTTTTGCGGGGTGTCAATATTGGAAACAAGTTGATGTACTGAAGTTCAAAAAGAACTATACGTGCAGTTTTTCTTTTTTCAAACATAGCACTCAAGTCATGCTGACCCCTGCCAGTTCCTTCCCACAGAAGAAAGCCAAGAACTGAAATACTCAGACTAAAGTAAAAATACTGAAGATATGTGCTGTGGGATAGGGAGCATACTGCAGTATAGCCTGGTAAAGTTGTAAGACAGCACAGTGAAGTATAGTAAACCAAAGACAAAGACTGCATTTTTACCTCATGTAAAATGAATTGTTGGAAATGGAGGGACAGTGCCTCACTTGAAACCGTTTATTGTCCTTGCTGTCTGAATTCAGTGGCAAGTGTTCTGTGCCACTTTCATAAAAAGGATTGACGACATTAAACCACACTTTTTACTGGTCTTGTTGTTTATTCTGCAGGTTGAAAAAGAAAAACCTAATGAAATCTTTGCTGGGCTAAGTATGTGTGGACTAGCACAGATTTTATGCGATGCAGTAAAGTTTTGCTGACAAGCTTTTACAGGCATCTTCTCCAATTGTTGCGTTCCTTTGGAAAAGGAAGAGTACTTGGCTAAGTGCCGGGGGGAAAAACAAATATGAAAAATGCTAAATAAACACAGTGTTGATAATGCAGAATCAAACTTTTTGACAGAGTCTTGCACATGTGTAATAAAGAGCATTAGTACTGTTTTAGGGTACCACAGATGGTTTGCTTTGATACTGTGCGTTCTGTTTTGTCAGGAGCTGTTTCACCCAATTTAACAGGGCGCACAAAAGGTTAGCGCTGCAGAGATCCAACACATTAATATTTGTGTGTTGTAAATGCCAACACTGTGTGCAGAGGCCTCCCTGTGTCTACACAGACCACGCACTTACTGCAGTCTCACGCTGTTTCTCTGTCTAATATTTAATCACAGCCTAATTAGATCCTGTCGACTAATTAAGCGACGTGTGCTGGTTTTGCATAACTTGCCTCTGTCTGAAAATGGCAGTATTCCTCTCTTCAGGAGGCATGTTATTGTAATGCGCGTCTGCAATGTGGTACACACACATTTGCATAAATAAAAATTTCATTTTCACCCGTCGGAACAAATCAATCGCCTCTAGCCAAACATACAGATTGATTTTTTTGTGCCTCTGTATACACATTAAGGCCAGTAATTTTTGCAACTTACTGCCTTAGAATAAAACAAGTCAGCTAAAATTACCTTTGTAATCTCCCAGAAGATGCATTTGTAAAATTTCATATACATTTTTAAGGTTTTTGCACAGGTACTTCATTTTAAAACTGCCTGCAAGACGTTTTGCTGAATACATCTTGAACACAACTTGCACAGTAAATGGTATTCTATTGCCTTAGTTGACGAAAGCAAAAAAGCATGCATCACATAAACCATGTTTGTAAAAGCCTTGCTGGTCAGTTTCCAGATCTTTTTGTTTTAAAAATTGCAGTGTTTAGACTCTTATATCACTGCCTGGCACATTATACCTTGTTTACTTTATATCATGCCCATTTGTTAGACAAATTTTGTTACATTCTGTATGCAAGGTTGGGTTTGGATTGTTTCCTTTAATGCAAATGAAACTTTTTATGAAGAGTGCACAATTGCCGGTTTGACTCCGCTGTCAGCTTTGTGTGCAGCATCCAAAGACAGGGTGCAAGTTGCAGAAATCTTCCCCCCTTCTTTGAATTAGGGCCTGTGTGAGCTTGCGGACAGCCTTCTTACGGCTCATACAGATTTTCAGAAGGGTAGACCTTGCATCCGTGGAGAATGCAAATTTCCCTACGGGATTAATAAAGTATTATCTATCTATCTATGTCCACCCTGACTCCAAACGGAAGGAATGGAGGTTGGACGTGCCTCTGGCTCTGTGCGAGCCGGAATACCGACCGGAGCTTGGCTGACTCCAGCGAGGCCGAAATGGGAAAATAAATGTTTAATCGGGAGAAGCCTTATGGGATGCCCCCACTGCCCCAATTTCCATCAGGTCTCTCATTACGTACTGTGCTATCGAGCTGCTTCTCCTGCATTAGAGCAGCTTCCTGCCAAGATACCAGTGGATGGCTGCCAGAAGGCACAATGGCATTGATCTGCAAAGCTATTGAGAGTGCTGATAGGAGTATAATTCCACATCATATCTAGTTCCCAGTGCCATCTCGTTGTTAAATGTGTACTTGATTTGTGATCAGCAAGGGGAGTGTGAGGGCAGGGAGTGGACACTTTCCCCAGGCAGCCTCCTCCTCCTCTGGTCTCCAGCTAACTAAAACCCTCTCTCTTACACATTCTCTGGAGACTCGCAGAGTCATGTGGCATCGCTCAGTCAGTGCCCTGATGTAGAATGGGGTGTTTCTCCCAGCTTTGTACTCACAGGGAATTACATCCTAACCACTGCTCATCTTAATTTGCAGACTTTGAAATAAGAAGAATGCAGAGAATAATTTAAGAGCCTCTCTTGTACACCAAATACTCCTTCAGCAGTTTCCACCTTCAGTTTAATGTCGCCACCTGTCTTCCAGTTGCCATCTGGCCAAAGAAGCTGGACATGGGCAGTATTGTTAACCTTAATTAGCTGATCATTTAACATCCACAGCTTGACTAGGAGAGCTAATGTCTCATTTGTGTACCCACCCCCCTGTGTGCGGTACAGTCAGCGCCTGCAGAGTCACAAAAACCTTTCAGACCCCTTTTTGCTAAGAGACAAAATCTGATTCCTGTTTCCCCAAGGTAATGGTCAAAACGTTTAAGCAAGAGAGAACAAGCCAGGTCAAGGCTGCTCAGCTGAGCAAAGGTTACGCTCCCTCTCCTGTCCTGTGACGGCATGTGTGGGTGATTTTGCACCAGCAGGTAACCCAGCTGGGCTCAGGTTGTGAGATCTGGAAGGATGTCCGAATAAATTTGTGGGAGACTCGAACAGGTTATGAGCAGCATTCCCACCTTTAGTCATTTTCATTGCAACAGTCAAGAGAGGGAGAAAACCCTGGTGATACTGTGCCTCCTGTAAAGGGCAGCCCTGCCACTCGGAGCAAGCACAAGCACCTGTGATCCCTCTGGTAGGTGTTAATGGGGCCAGCAGGGGGGCGCTCACCTTGCTGCCTGTGTGGGTCCTAATGCCCCAGTATAGTGACGGGGGCACTATACTGTAAAAAGATGCCGTCCTTCGGATGTGACGTAAAACCGAGGTCCTAACTCTGTGTGGACATTAAAAATCCCAGGGCGTTTCTCAAAAAGAGTAGGGGTGTAACCCTGGTGTCCTGGCCAAATTTCCCCCTGGCCTTTACCAATCATATCCTCCTAATAATCCCCCTCTATGAACTGGCTTCATCACTCTGCTCTCCTCCCACTGAGAGCTGGTGTGTGGGGAGAGTACTGGTGCACTTTGGCTGCCGTTGCATCATCCAGGTGGGGCTGCACACTGGTGGTGGAGGGGAGTCCCCGTTACCTGTAAAGCCCTTTGAGTGGAGTGTCCAGGCAGTGTCCTGCATGTTTCAGTAGACATTTCACTCTTCCAGCGGATAGTTTTGGAATATTGGCTGGAGATCCGTCAGTAGTCCGGGAAGGAAAAGGCACGGAGCTCATTTTTGCCCCGTCGTGAATAAAACCTTCATGGGAAGCAGTCCTGGGTGTGGTGGTGTTGGGGAGGGGAGGGGAGGCTCTCTGCTCACTGCTCCCGTTCAGCGTTGTTCTCCTGTCTGCAGCGAGCAGGCCCAGCTGAAGCTGCAACTGGTGGAGGGGGACACGGAGGAGTGGCAGACAGCCCCCGGATTCGCCGGGCTCACCAGAGTTGGCGGGGTGGACCTGTCCTTCATCAAGGGGGACGATCGCAGAGCCTGCGCCCAGCTGGTGGTTCTGAGCTATCCGGAGCTCGAGGTAGGGAGCCGAGGTCCCGGCAGGTTGGGGAGATGCGGACCATGAGGAATAAGAGTGAGCTGGGGTGGGGGGGTTAAACAGGCACCTGTTTGGCCCCCACAGTGAGCAAGCCAGCCCAGGCTCTTTTGATGGGTGGCTGTATCGGTGCTCCTCCGTTACTTCAAACGGGACTGAAACCTCAAAGCCGCTGGTCTGAGTTGTTGCCAGGTAACTCGCTCAGGGTTTGAAACTCCTGCAGGTTTGACAGCTGAGCGTCTGAAGGCTTGGAAGGGCAGTAGGAAGGCTTCTGAAAATATCAGCTCGCGGTGCAGGTTTTTGTTTTTAGCTCGGTCAGGCGGTTCTTTGTACTTCCTTACAAAGGCTTCCTGTGGTAGACCGTGCAATTCCAGTAGAGGAAAGTACAATCATCATAGTAAACCCTACAAAATAGTGGTGAAGCACTGTGGAAAAACACAGGAAACGACAAACGTTTCAAGGAAAACTAACATACAGAATTCTCTATGGTATAGTTTAATTGGTGCGATCTGGAGTGTTTCCGACAGTGGTAAATAAAAGTGAAAACGCCATTTTTTGGTGCATGTGATCTTTACTGATCAGGGGTTGCTTATTGTATGTTTTTTTTAATTTCCCAATTAAGCTGATTTTTTAATTGGGTTCACGCTCTAAAGCCAGGAAAACACCTAGCGGGGTGTCTGTCTAGGAGCTGGAGGAGCATTCCTGCCTGTTCCCATAGTCGCTGCTGGGATGCGGTGATGTGTGCCACGCGGTGTCCTTTGTTCCCATGGGTGTTTGTCAACAGCCTTGCGTGGCACCCAGTTGTGCCCTGTGGTGTGATATGGTGCCCGGTGGCTGGCGTAAGGAAATGGATACGTTTCTTATCAATATCAGAAAAAAATATATAGTCTAATGTCAGCTAGTCTTCAGTCCTAAACTTATATGTTCCTCAGAGTTGTCCATTTTGTATTCAGTCTTCTGGTTTACAAAGAAATCTGAACCGAATGTTCACGCAGAGGTTAAAAAGGCAGAAATAACTTAGGATCTCGATATCTGCTGCCCTCCCTGACCCTCACAGCTGCGCCACTTGATCTGTTTGCATTGCAGCCTCTCCAAAACCTGTTGTGTAGCAGGTTTCCTCTCCCTTGGTCTCACGCAGAGGCTGCAGGGGAAACTGCACAAGGCACCTAAGTCATAGCTCTGGTCCGTCTTGGGAGAAACGTTGCAGCCTGGGGGATCTATAAGACTTAATCACTTGGTAAGGGAAAGAGGCGAAGCCAGAGGCCAGCTGTGCTTGAGGTCCGCCCGTACCGTGTGGCAGTGACGGAGGTGTGATCGCAGAGGCACGCTCCTGGGAACCTTGGTGGGCTGCAGGGTTATGGTGTGTTTCGGTAAAATTTCCTTTCGCGGTGCGGCGCACTTGGAATGCCAGACACACTCCCCAGGCCCGTCGGCAACAGGAGCGAGAGCGAAAACAGATGGTGGCCTTCTGCGCGGTCCCTGGGGTCTGACTGGAGCGGGCTGCAGGGCGAGTGTGTGTGAGTGTGTGAGTGTGTGAGTGTGTAAGTGCACACAGGGTGAGGGGCAGGGCGCTCGGAGGGGCGCAGACTGATGCTGCGCAAGGGCACATCCAGGGTGCGCTCTCCCAGCGCCTGACAGGCGCTGACGTTGATTGGCACAAAAACATGAATGCAATTAAGCTAATGAAATTGTGGTGATGTGTGCGTATGTTGTGCTCTGCCCTTAGTCTTCTGTCCTCCTCTCTGAACTCTGAAGGCTGAGGTCCCAGCTGCTCTCCCAGCATCACCGGCGGTGCTGCCAGGCTCCAGAACTTCGCGCCGCTCCCTCCCCCCACTGTTGGTTTTGTTTTGCCAGCTCATTACATTGATACACTGACACATTTGCTGTTTTAATGGAATATACAGTCCTAATTAAATGTTCCTTGCCAAGCTGAAGCAGTCACATCTGTTTACTTCTGACTGCCTCCCAACCTGGCACTCATCAAACACCCCCCCCAACACACACACACACCTCATTCTGCCTTTGCATGCAGATGAGTGCTCACAGAGTCTCCCCCTAGTGGCAGCGGTGAGTAGTCCCGGCAATCCAGAAGGATCTGATGCCAAGTTGGACCCGTTTTGCATTGGCTTTTGGCGAGTGCATTAAACACGCTGGGTTTTGTTCAACAACTTTGCCCTTTGCACCTTTGCAAACAGCAAAACTAGTCCTTTCATTCGTCAGGAATGCATTACATTACCTCAGTGGTGCCCCAGTCCTAGTCCTGATGACTCACGCGCCTGTTGGTTTTCATCCCAGCTGAGCTCTCCAGTTACACAGTCAGACCCTTCATTGACTTTTTAATAATGAGATGAATTTGAACTGTTCGTTCCCAGCTCTCATACGTGTTGGAGCTTTAATCTTTAATCCCAAACTTGTGACTATAAACAAGATGGAAATGTTCCAATGAAGCAACTTACGCTTCCCAATGAAGGTGGGCTGGCATGAAAACCAGCAGGTGTGGGGGGGCATCAGGACCAGGTCTGGGAGCCCCTGCATCAGCTGCAGATGCAGTCTGTGCTCCTCTTATCCATGGTGGAGATTACGTGCAACAGAATATGGCACTGAGTTGTGTTGAAGGGGTTATGTTTAGCACCCACATGAGTCAGAAGGTACCTCCTCAGGTATGTTATGGTTTCTGATGTGGGGGATTTTTGTGATGTGCGCCCAGTCTTTTGAGAAGTGTCCGAAGGAGGTGATGGCACCTCTCTGCCAGCGCTCGGTGTGCTTGCCGAAGTTGTTACGCCGTGCCCACGCCTCCTGGCTTCCTCTGCTTCCCGATTGCTCTCGTCTTCCGGCCAGGTGCTCTACGAGGACAGCCAGATGATTGACCTCGGCGCCCCCTACATTGCCGGCTTCCTGGGTTTCCGGGAGGCGCCCTGTCTGGCGGAGGCTGTGCACCGTCTGGAGCAGAGTGACCCCAGCTGCCTGCCGCAGGTCGGAGGTCACGCCGCCCAGCTCGCTCGCTCGGGTCTTCATCCTGTTCCGCCCTCATAACGCGTACCCCACTGCCCAGCAGCTGTCCAGTTTCGTCTGAGGGGGGAAATGAACAGACTGTTTCACCCATCTCTGCAGGACTCCTACACTGGTTTCTGGAAAGACTGGTGTCATGAAAGCTTAACATTTTTAACGGCTGTGGGAGGGATTGTTATGATGTTTAATAGCACCTGTAGTGAATGCGTGAATTGCTAAGTTGACTTGCATTGCAGAAATTACACATCATAAACCACACCATATCTAAGACCTCCTGTTTCATTTTCATTTTTTTGTTACTGCCTGTATGTTAGTGGTGTTTGCTAAGTAAGAAAAGTTCCTCATTTGCACACTGGGGAGTCATCTGGTAACAGGCAGGCCGTTCCTGAGTGTTTACAGGCTGTGCTGGAGCTCTCAGCGTGCTGTCTGTCTCTACAGGTGATATTCGTGGATGGGAACGGGCTGTTCCACTACAGGGGTGAGTCTGCTGCATGCTGTGTCGGGGTTTTGTTGGCAAGCATGTGTTTAAATTGATTGGCTTTTCTTTCAAATTCCTCTCTTCTCTGTATATAATTATGGCGAAGAGCATGCTGTAACTCCTGAGCAGGAATCCGTATGTGTTGTGCTTATTTTGAAAACAGAGTGATCACCAGTTTAATGAATTATCAAGTAGACCATTTACTAATCAGTTTCACAGGATACCTGCTCTGTTGGAAATAAGTCGCTAAGGACTCAAGGGAGGCTGTCATACAATTATGTCGTTCACAAAACCATCAATTTACAAACACCCGGTTTATAGATTCTCTTTATAATGAAGCTTGCATTTTTTGGATTTATAAAGAACTTTTTGTGATGATGAAGGAACATCCTTCACAGATGCCATCCTCACAGAGTAACCTTCTGTACGGTCTTGTACAACACAGTTCTTCAGTATAGCTGAGTTCCACGAAGTTTTATGCCTTATTTATCTTCTCTGTTAAGCTTCTCTTGTTGACTATTGTTCTAGGGTTAATAGGGTCATTACCATAAACAAACCATAATGTTCTACTCGGAAGATTTGGTGCAGTGTTACAGTAAAGTAATTGGTAGATTTTCTACACCTCAGGAACAAATAATTGTTTTTGTACTTGAATTTAATTTTAAATTTTGAATATTCACCTTACAGTTTTCAAAAAACAAATTAGGTTCATAAATCAATGGAAGTATGAAAAACCAGGGACTTTACATTTTGTTTTCAAAACAGGCATCCAACTTTACATTTTGTTTTCAATAGAGGCCACCAGCATGCAAAAACTTTTGTCTAGAGAAGGAATGTCCAGTTCTGCAGTCTCAGAGAACTGCCATCCTGCAGGTTTATAAGCAGCCTCAAAGGATAGATGATCGGGAGAACATCTCCTAAAAAAGCAAACGAGTCCAAAGCATCCAACATTTGCACCCCTGGACAATTCAGGTGAAGCACCTTGTTCAGGGCTGCAAGAGGCCATGTTTCACCTGCGATGTGAACCCACAGCTTTGCAGTTTCCCAACCAGATTCCCAAGCGCTGCACCACACTGCTGCTCTTGGCTCACACCCGCAGGAGTGTGCAGTGTCTTCAGTGGCTGTATGTGTTGGGCCCTGCAGAGTTTGGGCTGGCCTGCCACCTGGGGGTGCTTGCCGGGCTGCCTTGCATCGGCGTGGCCAAGAACCTACTGCAGGTGGACGGGATGGAGGACAAGCAGGAGCACCAGCACAAGGTAATGGCGAGATGCTGAAGGCAGTGATCTGGTGGTGGTGGGGGTGCCGTGAGTGGAGAAGGGAGAGTGAAGGATATAGGAATAGCCAGGGACACAGAGACAAGGGGTGGACAGTTGGAAACGGGTGAGCATTGGGAAAGAAAGAGGTGGGCGTGTTAAGGGTAGGGAATGAAAGATGGCCATTGTGGGGTGGGGGGAGGGAAGAGAAAGAGCAAGAATGTGCCGCAAGAGAGGAGCACTGAGAGGTACATAGAGAACAGATGGCTTGGAGGTGGATAGCACAAGAAGTCTTTTCCAGATCCAGCCAGCAGGATTCCTTCTGTGTCTCCCCTCGCCTCCAGCTCATTTAGTGTTTGGTTTCTGTGTGCACAGGAAGAGGCAGGTGTGTGTTCATGGGTACAGGTGATGCACCTTCTGCACCCTCCAACTGTGAAAACATTTGCATGGGCTTTCTTTCATGGAAGGGGTTCCTGTCCAGCCTGAATATTTCTCCTCCTCAGTGCTGCTGCTGCTTCCCCAGTCGCCCCTGACTACTGCTGCTCTACGCATACTGTATTTTGCAGGGGGGGGGTATTTTTTTTTTACCTGACTTTCTTGAATGAGATCATTAGTGCTGGGCGTCTGTCGAGGCTGGTGAGCAAGTTCCCTGCTAAACAGAAACTGAAGGAGGTGAGTGAGCAAGGGCGCGTGTGTGCAGGGAGCGATTATCTCCGAGTAGTTCACTCCAGCTCAATTACGAAGCAGTTGGTTCTGCCATTACTGTCCCCAGGACACATTCCCGTGCCTGAGCTAATCTGACTCTTAATATGAAGCTGCATGTCCCAGTTCACTCAGAGTGCTTTTGTGGCCTGGTAGATTAGGAATAATGGTTAAATGGGTTTCAGAGGACCAGTGCTTTAGTAATAAATATATAGGTGTACCTGCTAAATTACAGTCCCATGCTCACTGCAAATTAAGCGCAAAAAGTAAAATCAGCCCTAACAGTATTTGATAGATTCCCTTGTTTCCAGAGAAGAGCTGCCATATCTGGTGCCATTGTTCTTGCAGATACTATTGAAAGTGCCCGCTCCCTTGTGCAGCTGTGTAGTATTAATTTACTTGGGAGGTGCTTTTATCCAAAGCAACGTACTGTATATATATATGACGATTTATGCTGGGTATAACTGGGTATTTTACTGAAGCTGTCTTGATCGAAGTACCTTGCTCGAGCGTGCAGCAGCAGTGTTCCACCCAGGACAGACCCCGCAACCTCCCCGTCACCAGTCAAGGGCCCAGGTGGCAGCTCCACGTTGCAGGTGGAGAGCGCTTGGGGCAGTCGAGGGCTGTATCTCCTGGAAGATACGCGAGAAGACTCTAGATCACTAGTACGGCGAATGAACAAGGGCACGGTCCTTGCCAGCTGCTGGACTTTTTTTGAACATACTGCAAGTGCATCATGCCTCAGCTTTTTTTGGGGGGTTGTTGTTGTTGTTTAAGCCGCCGAGCGGGGGACGGTGTGAAACACGGCCTCGTTTCTGAGCCGTGTTTCTGATCGTTGGCCATGTGAGGATTACTTGACAGGTCATGTGGAACAGACTGTGCTGGAGAATTGGGCTCATGCTTATGTGCGTTTTTCCTTCTCTGAGCCATTGTGTTCTCTTTCAGCCTGTGACTCTGCATTCCGAGCATTTTTGCTCTCGAGGGGCCAGGGATGCTGTTTGTTTTTGTCTTTTGTTGCAAAGAAATCTGTGTCATTTTGACATCCCCACACACAGGACTTTCTGGCTGCTGCCTTGATCGCCCTGTCACGGTGTAATTGCTTGGCAAGGGAAATAACACTACCTACGTGTGTGTGTGTGTGTGTGTGTGTGTGTGTGTGTGTGTGTGTGTGTGTGTGTGTGCTTTCGCACATTCTGCTGAACTCTCTGACTCTAAACTCTCTGTCTTTATGGGGCACTGTTCAACAGAGAGCAGTAATCATGATACTAAAAAATAAATCTTCTGCTCCTTGGCGAGAGCCTGGCATGAAGAAGAGATGGCTGTAGTCACAGGTGCTGGAACAGATTTTGGGAAGACAGGGTATCATTTCAGTCTCCCTGTCTGCATTTCTGCTCTCCTCTGCCAACATAGGCCTGCAGGACAAATTCAAAGAGGGTCGTACTCTCTTCTCTGTTTCCTTTCCACACTTTCCAGCTGTACCTCTGTGCTTCACTAATAAGAGGAAAGTCAGTCTTTTATCTGTAGTGTCCTTCGTAACAGTTCCTTTAAACACAGCAGTCAACAACATATAGTATCGACAGTTGGCCATGTGGATCTTATATAAATATTTTTACAGTTTTAGTGCAAACATTTACTGTGAAATAAGAATAGAAATTGACAGTTACCCAGCCCAGCGACTTTTTCCCATGTTGATTAATTAAGTGCAGGGCTTTAAGTGTTTAAGATGATTGGATTGTCCAGGGTCTCCTGTGGGACCTTTAAAGACTCATTAAGAAGACTGCGCTTCTTTTCTTTGTTAGTGTAGCGTCTGATTTGCAGGTGTTTGGTTGATGTGACTGGGTGGTGTCTGAGTTGGTCCCCCAGTCCAAGCACTTGGGAGTAGTACAGTTTTTGGAGATCACTCAAAATGCCTCGTGTTTACCGAATAAAGCTTGGATCCGCCTGTCAGTTTCCAGGGTTAGATGTCTTGTTTTTATTTTGTTTGTTTTGGCTGCAGACGTATTTGTTCCCCCCTTGTCAGCATCTTGAGTGGTTTTAAGAAATTGTTATGGTACAAAGTGTTCTGAATTAAAGTGGCTGCAATATAGAGAGCAGTGCAGGTGCAGCTATCCATCTGTTGTGCTTAATATCACAGTTTCTCCATGCAGTGCCCTCTTGGGGCACCTGTGACAGGGATTAATGTGTGATCTTTCCAGCAGTTGCAAGAGAGTGAACACCAAGGAAGAGGAGGGCGTATTTCAGATGCAGGGAGCAGAGAGACAGAGAGAGACCTGCTGTTTAACTGACACATTTGCACAGCTGTTCCAGGGTAGGAGGGAGAGGGAATCAAATTCCTCTTCTTCCTTTGCACTTAGAATCGGAGCACGGGCATGGACCACATAAACAGTGGTGGATATAAGTACTGGCATCTTACATCTAAATCGTAATTATTTTTTGGAATGGATTAAGTCTGATAGGTAGTGTTTAAACAGGTTTCTTGTGTATTTGCTGAACACTTACTCATGCTTGCACGTGGTAACGTTGGTGTTCTAGTGAATTTATTCATTTAAGATGCCATTTAAGAATAGTATCCTGGTATGTATTATAATAATATAGTGTATAAAGTGCTTGTGTATTTTAAGTTTGGTTAACTCTCATGAGCCTGCACTCCTGTCCCGTGGGGACAGAGATCAGGTAAAGAGGTGCTGTCCTCCCCATCTCCGGTGTTCACAGTGACTCTCTGGGCCACAACGCAGTCTGGCGGTAGACCTGTCTGGTGCGGGCGTAGGGCTCTACTGCCTCTCACCCGACGGGGGCCACAGACCTCCCTTCCGATCACTGAACCCAAACTGGCTAATGTGCTGCCTGCTGATGAAGCATTGATTGAGCAGCTGAGCGATGACTGTCAAGTGATTCTTAAGTGGGTAGTAAATACCTGTGATGGCTCGTTTCCTTGCCTGTTTCTTCATCGCAGTCTGGCGCCGGGACGAAGTACCACGGTATCAATGACTCTCAGTTCAGGGGCTCGGCGACTTGCTCAGACAGAGGCGTGCAGAGGTCCCCTCATCAGAAAGTCACCAGCCGGTGTCATGAACCTTTCGTGTCTTAAATACGGAGCAGGGAGTGAAAGGGAAATGCAACATTTTAAATTGTTTGTGTGCATCTGCCCCCACAGCAGCTTGAGGCCCTGGTAGCCTGGATTTGTGCTAGTTTTCCAGTCCAAATCAAGGGATTTCTACAAGTGTCACCTACAAGCAATTACTCTCCCTTACTGCCATCGGGGGGAATTAGCATCCTTTTTGCTAATCCCCTATTCCCAGCACAGCAGACTAACGTGCTCTGCTCTGAGAAGAAGGCGCTTCCTGGTACATCGGTGACTAAATCACAGTGCTGTGTCTCTGCTAAACCTGGCAGAGAATCCCCTGTGACACTTATTAAAGACTTCCCTGTTCCCCTTTTGGCTCTCTGTCTTTCTCAGCCAGAGCTCCCTCTGCTTTGTTTTGACAGATTTCGTTGCTCCAGAAGGGAGGGGACTCCTTCCCTCTGAAGACCAGATCAGGGAGAGTCCTGGGCCAGGTGAGTCCTCCTGGGATCTTGGGCGTCGAGTACGGGTTTGACGATGGGAGGCGTTCCGCAAGCTGTGTGCTGGTCTCTTGACGGAAGCTGGCAGGTTAACGAGACCGCCCCGTTTGGCTTCTCTTTTATTTACCTCTCACAGGCTCTGCGCAGCTCGGATAAGAGCACAAAACCTATTTACGTCTCAGTGGGTCACCGCATAAGCCTGGACACAGCTCTGCGGCTCACCCACGCCTGCTGTAAATACCGAGTCCCCGAGCCAATCAGACAGGTAGGAGCCGGGAAGGGGCGGGGCTACCGTAGCGTGTCACAAAGGGAGGGGGGTCTGAAGCGCCCGTGTGCGTTTCCCTTAATTGTGTCCATTTCTAGAACACCTGTTAGCACAATGAGATAATACAGAAGAATGTGAGGAGACAAAAGTGATGTCAAGCTTGCAGAGAGCTGATGTCACATTGCTTCTTTCCCCTGGTGCTTGCCAGTACCTGCTCTTTCACCCCATCCACTGTAACATCTCCGTACAGCTGTGACAATAAGGTAGGGCGTGTCTACAGCTGAAAGAGCACATGTCCATCCTCTTGAGCCCCTCTCAGCAGGAACCATAGTCTTCGGTGAAGTCAGAAAGTGGCTCATTCTTAAAGCCTTTTAAGTTCAAGAAGGTGGACAAATTTACCTCTCTTTCTTATTAAGAAAAATGTACTAGTACTGGGACCCAATTGTGTAGGGCTCCTCGTTCTTTGTGTTACCAGCCTTCAGGTGATTGCAAATTGGGAAGGAAAGAAATAGAGGATGCAAATAATATGGGCGCTGAATTTTAGGGGGGAAAAAGCTGGCATTATATTCTGATGTAAATCAGAGCAAGGGCTGGGCAGGTTTTCTACTGCATGTCTGTATCAGCGGCCCCAGAGTCTGTGCCAGCTGAATGCGCTACAACAGTCCTGCCACAAGGCTGTGCTGTTCCATTGCAGAACAGCATCTCCTTGTAACCCACACGTCTTTGTATTCCCAGGCCTGTAATGAATCACTTAAACTCGCTCTGACTAAAACTGCAGGCTTTTCTTGAACAATGTGCTCGTCTGTATTCTTTACAGCATTGATTTTATGTAGCCGAATTTGGAAACCAGTACTGCGTGTTTTTATACAAAAGGATGGTTCATGGAATTCATTACCTACTTGGAAAGAGCACTTTGCCACTGTAGCTACAGTACGTGTAGTCCAGGTTGACTATAATCAGACAGGAGTTCACAAAGTTCCTGATTCAGATCCTCCTTGTTTCAATTTTCTTTCATAGGCAGATCTCAAGGGAGGGTACTTTTCCAAATGTTTAGCTTCATCAACTTCTAGTACAGAAAGCCTTCAGAATACTGTATCTTGTCCATACATTTATATGTTTATAGAGTTAATTGATTTTATCACGTTTGCAGTGACTTAGTGCTGACTCAAACCTTTGACTTCAGGTATGACACAGCACAGACTTGAATCTGCAACACCTGCTGTGACATAGCGCAGACGCTGACCTGCAACACAGACTCATGCCAGTGACTTTTGCTGTGACCCAAACTCAAACCCACAACTTCTGTTATGACACATCCAAGACTTCAACTCGGAACGTCTATTGTAACATAGCCCAGACTTGAACCCACAACCTCTGCTATGACATACTGTGGCACAGACACAAACTTTTACCAGTGAGACCACTCAGATGCCTTCCCCTGAAAAATCATATACCAGCATAATGCATTTAGAAAAGAATCCCATTGCAGTCAACCAAAAACAATAAAAAGTGTAATTAAAGAACACAGCATTCAGGAACTATTTGTACTACCACAGTAACAGAGAGAATATAACAGGGATTTCTTTTTAACAGCAGTCAAGGTCGAATCTCAGCAGCCACTTTAATCACAAGAAGGAAAACAAATAAATGTTTTGCACAACAACACACTAGTAATGGGATAAAGAATCTGGCTTTGAGTTCTTTTCTCTGTTTTTGCACTAGAAGGACATTTCTCATTGTCATTCTGGAGAGACAAAAGAATCCTGTATTATGAACAATGTATTTCTCTGAATTGTAGTCCATAGAAAGCGATGCACTTCCAGTAAGGAGACAAATTGTCATGGGTCAGGGGAAAGGGGGTTGGTTTAGTTATTCTTAAGTAGCTTTTAAGTTGATTTTTGTCCTTCCTAAGTAAATTGAATTTTGAAAGAGAGCGAAGACCCAGTGTGAAATGGCAGAGAGAGAACAGACTTGCCATCAGAAATGCCAGATTATTCTCTGCATTCCTGTAACCCGTGACTGCTCAGTGCATGAAAATCTTTCACCGCCAGATACAAATGCAAAGAAAACCCAGGGACCAGCCTTCTGTGTGGTAGCTGACTTTTACAGACCAGGCCTTCATTTGATTAATTTGTCTTATCGATTGTAGTCATCAGAGATTTATAGCATCTTCTACTACAGGACAGTCCATAACCCCACTCAGAGATTCCAAAGAGGCTTACACTGGCTGGCTGGTATGTACGAATGTACCCTGTTGTAAAAAATAGGCGGCTAAGGTGCAAGAATCACGAACTGGGGCCTCATTTCATGTGTCACCATGCCTGCTGTCAGTCACAACTTGCATATCTATCAATTTTCTAAATTGCTTTATCCAGTACAGGGTCGCTGGTGAAGTTGGAGCCTAACACGGCACACAGTGGGATACACCCTGGACAGGATGCCTGGCCATTGCAGGCCAAACACAGACACAAAACGCACCCGCTCACACCAGGGCCAATTGTCCCAGTTGCCCATTACCCTTCCAGTATGTCCTTTGGACTGTGGGAAGAAACCGGAGTGCCTGGAGGAAGCCCACATGAACGCAGGGAGAAAGTACACACAGACTCCACACAGACAGCGCCCCAGGAACTGGACCCAGGTTCCAGAGCTGCAAGACAGTCTGTGCCCAACCTTGCCAGAGGTCATGAGACAGAAACCAGAGGTCATGAGACAGATGAAGGGTTGGCCTTCATCTCAATAAGAATGTTAATAACACATGCATTTAGATGTGTGAGTTCTATTCCACCAGGGAGCTGCAGGACCCATAAACGTCTATAGGAAATTAGAGTCCTGTCGCTTTTGGAGAATTTTCCCTCTACAAATGAACATACGAACAATGCTAATAGCTGGAATTAGTTTTTAATCTAATGATTGCGCTTAACAGAGTGTGGCATGCCAGGGTATTAGTGCACACAGATACAGTCCCTGAGGAAATTTGCCAGGATAAGATTTCATGTATTTAGAGGTTTATCAGCAGAGGAAGGAGCTCTTAATTGAAGAAAAAAGTTGATAATATTAGAGCAATAAAGGTGGAGGCGAAGGTGGAAGTAAATCTGTAATAAATCTAACTGGCGTATGGGATGCTAGTGTCTTCTTCATTATGTGCTTGCAGAACCTAGCCTGTGCTCTGACACCTGCAATACTATTTCTATATCGGAGAGGCGCTTTTAAAATGTCTTTGGTGAAGCCAATGAGTTGAGATGTCAAATTAATCAAATTAATGATTAATAATGAGACCTTTAACCAAAGCAATATATGGAGTTCACAGTAACCCATACATTTATACTATATATTTCAGGACCAATTTACAAGCCTGAGCTTTCCAGAGTAACCCGGCTGAAGTATCTTGCTTGAGGCTACAACAGCCGTGACTGGAATTTGGACCTTCAGATCACTTAATTCAGTCTTAACCGCTGCCACACACCTGACGTCGGACTTTTTGGCTTTTAAGTTGGCAGCATAGGTTTCTGCCAGTGTAAATTAACAGGAGGTTTCATGAAGTGTGCTCCAGAGAAGGGGAGCACTGCCTCTCTGCTGGGGGAGGGGGGTTCAGTCCACTGCCCTGCCTAAATACCACTCTGTCTTGGACAGGCGGTTCTCCCTAAAGTTTCTCCATAGCTGAACTGGCGAGGCAGTATCTCTCTCCTGTCCCTGGTCCGCTGGGCAGTGGGACAGCTGCTGCCCCAAGTGGGGCTGAACTTCATCAGTTCCCCTCAAATGTAGAGCCGTTAGTTTCCTCTTAGAATGATTCTAACAGCACAAGTGTTGAAAGAGGGAGAAGGTGGGATAGAACTGGGTCAAATTAGCATGGAGGGCTTCACCCTCTTATAAGAGCTGAGGGACTCATTAAAGCTGAAGCCCACTTTGTCTCCATACACAATGCAATGAAAACTTAATTACTCATTGGTAATTAGGGGGAGGGGAAGGAGATGCCCTTTAATGTCTGCATGGCGGCGTGTCTCTGTGCTGCTTGTGACCAAAAATCCTTGCTGTTCCCCAGTAAAGGTGGCCAAATGGTCGAGTTGACTGAAGTAAGAAGCGCAATATATTAGGAATCTTGACACAGTAGAGCTGCCTCAATCTTTCTGCTGTGTAAAGAGAAAAGTCTGCTGCTTGGGCTTTGAGATGGGAAACATGTTTAAAAAGACTCTGAGCTGCAGCCAGGAAAACGGATTGTCCTGGCTTAACCCATGGGGGCTGCAGGGCAAGTTTAAAAATAGAGGATGAGCGCTGCTTGGCGGACTGGTGGGCGGAAGTGCCCGCGATGCGCGCTGGGAAGTGTCTCAGTCCCGGCGGCTCCAGCCCGGCCTCCCACTCCGGTGGAGATCGACACCAGCTTGGCAGGCGGAGACGTCCCCCAGCAGTCGCCGGTCCAGGGGCTCTGTGCGTCCCCTGGTTCTTGTAGGAGAGGAACAAATATTTCTTAAAACTTTAGACCTGTTACAGGACACAAAAAGAATCAAAATATAGAGGTGCTATGTATGGCTGAAAATGGGCTGTTTTAGCAAAGTATCTTCATTTCCACAAAGGAATACTGTCCAGAAACACAGCTCTAATTAAAAATAATTCAGTCTGGTTCTCCTGTGAAGTGCACAACAGTTTACTCCATTTTTATTCTAAAGCACTTGTATAATTTGAGCTGGGTAGTGTGTACATCGTATCTAATAAGCCAGTTCATTATAGTTAAAAGAGACTATTACAGACTCTTACAGAGCCCTTTTTCGTTAAAACTGTGCTCCAGATCTTATACTGTCGGGCAGTATAAGTTTGTTCTTGCCTGACATGGTTATATGAGACAGACGTTTTTTTAGATGTAAGCTTAAATGCAGTTTAGCTCATTTAAATTAAATATCTTATTATGCTAATCGCACATTAAGTATTCGAGTGAAGGTATGATACTTATGTGGGAGAAATTACATATTTGTGTGTATTTTTATCTTCTTTTATTTTGCAGCCCTTTAAGCATAATGAAAACAAAGATTTGGAATGTGGAGCATGCAGATGCATCACTGTAGGTTTCACTAGCCTGCTTTGTGCCTTAATTGAGATCTCGTTGTGCACTGTACGCTTGGAGGTGTGGCAGTCTGCAGCAGCATGGCTGTCTTTGAAAAGGCCAGCATGCACACATTCTTAATAGGAGGTTAGAGGGAATCTACGTCAGCATGCAAACTGCAGAGGAATAAAGTACAGGCTAATTCTTCTCTGAAAAGTAAGCAAATGAAGAGCTCTCTGTTCACTTACACATTTCTGCTTTCTGCAGAATTTGCCATACCTGCTGCTGTATCCAAATCCACACTGCATAAACTTCAGTATGTTCAGAATTCGGCAGCCAGAATCCTGACCGCAAGCTTATTCCTGTCCTGGAGTCCTTGCACTGGCTTCTGTTTCATGACTTCAAAATCCTCATGCTCATCTATAAGGCCCTTCGTGGTTTGGCACCTCAGTACCTGTCTGACTTATTGACATCCTACTTCCCAACTCACAGCCTTCATTCATCTGTCTTTGGTCTCCTGTTCATCCCCAAAGCTCGTCTACATACTATGGGCAAAGGGCCTCTCTTGCTATGAACCAAAGCTCTGGAATTCTATTCCCAAGGATATCAGAGAGTCACCTAGAGCTGGGCGATAATTCGATAACGATAATAATCCCGATAATTATATTTTCCTTAATATAATTTTTACAAAAGTTCGATAAATGTTCGATATATATGTTTATGCTTTCATGCGCACAAAATACTGCGCGAGTGCGCGTGCGTGTTGCAGACCGGGCAGCTAACAGATTTGTTTAATGTTTCTGCTGTTTGGCAAGTGTTTGTTGTGTTCTTAAAATAAAAAGTTGTTTAATTTACCAATTAACTGTCTGGTTTCTTCAACTTTCACTCAGGAGAAAAAATCTGCCTTTAAACTTGAAAGAAATAATGATTTGACATTTATCGTGATAATTATCGATATCGACTGATATGAAAATTTTTATCATGATAATGTTTTTTGGCAATATCACCCAGCCCTAGAGTCACCTTCCCTGAGCGCTTTCAAATCCAGACTCAAAACCTTCTTCAGAAGGGCTTTTACTTAACCGGTTCTGTGTCAGCCCCTTGCCTCTTCTTGTACTAATTTTGTTACCTTTTCTCTCATTGTCAACTTTTTCCTCTACCTGTAAAGCACTTTGAGAACTTTTACTTTACTGTAAAGCACTTTGAGTTACTTTACACTTTACAGCACTTTGAGCGCTATATAAAATAAAGTGTATTATTATTATTGTCTCTCAGATTTTAGTGTCTTTGTTCCTCTTCTTTCCTCCCCCTACCTATTCTCTCGCTTTCTTATCCTCCTCACCCACCCCACTGCCCTGTATTCATACTCCCACCACAGACCGAACATTTCCATTTTTCTTCTTTCTGCTTTTCAGCGTGAAACTAACTTCGCTTTGTTCCCAGTCTCGATATAGCTGGTGCACCTTGCAGCCCTGTATATCCTACAGTATATCCTTTTTACTGGAGGATTGAGCCTCCAACTGCAGTTAATTAGCATTAAGACCCACAATTGAGCTTATAGCATAAGTAGTCCATCAGCTGTTTGCCCAGTCTAATCTAAACCACTTTGGGTAACAAGTTGAAATTAGATCAGTAAGTCATATAAATTGAATGTGTGTCTTAAAACAAAAAAAAAACAGAGTTTGGAGTCTTTGCTGAACCCTGGGAACAGAACCTTCCTGTAGTTCTCTTGCCCTCGCAAACAAGAGGTGTTCTGCAGAAGGTGATGTGACAGATTCCTCCTTAGAGGGTACCGGTACCCCAGGGCTGTCGGTGTCATTGGCCCCAGCCTAAATGCAGTACCAGCTGAGGCTGGTTTGTGCCAGCAGCCATATCACCCTGCAACTCACCACTGACAGCCCACTGCAGCTCAGCAGATGTGACCCTGGCCAGTTCCTGGATGGGAGACCTCCTTGGAAAAAACTAAGGTTGCTAAGGCTAAGGCTCCCTTGGTCATTAAAAATAGTAGGGTGTTTCTCGAAAAAGAGTAGAGGTGCTACCCTGGTGTCCTGGCCAGATTTCCCCCTGGCCTTTACCAGTCATGTCCTCTTAATAATCCCCATCTCTGAACTGGCTTCATCACTCTGCTCTCCTCCCCACTGAGAGCTGGTGTGTGTGCAGAGTGGACTGGAGCACTCTGGCTGCTGCTGTATCATCCAGGTAAGGGACTGCACATTGGCAGTGGTAGAGGGGAGTCCCCATTACCTGTAAAGCGCTTTATAAACATAAGGATTTATTATCATTAAGAACCCTCTTTCCTTCCTCTTGTGGCCACCATGGTCAGCGCTGCCTGTTGTGGGTTTGCTGGGGAAGAGGCTACAGGTGGGAAGGTTTGGAACCTGGAGATGCACTGGTTTTCGTTTCTGTCTCAGTTGATGCTTTCAGTCAGTAGCCCTTCTGTACTGATGCCCAACAGCTCACGTCTCCTTTCACAGATTGGTCTTGGTTTGCTGGCCTGGAGTTTCCCAGTATCCTTTGCTGTCTACCTCCTGGCTTTGTGGCGTAGTGTCTTGCTGAGCTGTCTCTTGGGAGGAAGGGGGGCGCAGAGTCCATAGATCAGGTTTAACTGAGGTCCGAAATGATGGGGTCATTCTTTTCCTTGGGCTGTGGCGGAAAAATAAAAAGAAAATTTTCTTTTTTTTTTCCTTTCTCTTGAGTTTATTTTTTTCGGCGGAGAGCAAAATGGTGGGAGTTTTTTTTTCTTCTTTTTTTTTTCTTCCCTTAATATAATTTAGACTACTGCTGGGCAAAATTTAAAAGTGACACCGTGAGGAAGATGGTAATTTATGGGTATGCTGTGAATTTAATTGGTAGCACCATAGCTCAATTAGATATACCCGTAAGAGTAAAATCTTGGGTGTTAGTAATGAAGGTCACAGCTATGCTGAGATTGAACCTGCCTGCACTGTTCTTTTGCTGCCAAAAAACATAATCTGCTACAGTACCTAAGTCTTATTCACTTCCAGGACTGAATTATGTGTACAAATGCACTTAGAGCAGCAAACTGTTAGACCAGTGACAATTAAAAAATATTCTGAAGTCTGTTTTTTAAAGCAGTGCATTTCATGAAAAACTCTTTAGTTGAGTACTTTAACCAAAAAGAGCCATGAAAAAGGATAAGACAAAAACTATTAAAGGCTGAGATCTGTGAAGACGTCTATGCCAATCAAAGACACGCATTAGAAATATCTAGTCATAGGATGCTGATTTTCCTGCCTTATTTATTGCAAAATAGGAACTGGAGTTATTGTTTACAATATTTAACATTAAGATATGTGACCTTAAGATGAGCTTTCTAAAAAAAAAAACTTCTTGACTTCTTGAAGTCATGTTTGTCATGAATGTGGAGATGCAGTAAAAAAAGATTTTTCAAAACAGTTACAGGACCTTTTACTGACATTTCCCTTAACACCACACAATGGTAAGGGGGAAGCTACACCACGTTTTACAACCGTTTCCAAATTGGACATGATAAGGGTGATTAGCTTGCATATACTGTCGTCACCACGCAGAAACGTGCGTGAGCCCTGCAGACAACCGAGGTACCTGAGGGCAGTGGAGGTGAGTCACTAGAAATTGAACCCAGGAAGTACCAGTGAGAACACACCCCACATTACAGATGTTTGTAGAATCACTGAATGTCCCGTGAAAACCTCCAGAATAGTGGAATATTAGGGTTATGTTTCCAGCTAATAATGATAATGATAATAATTCCTTACAATTGTATAGTGCTTTTCTGGATGCTCCACTCAAAGCAGGTAATTACAGGTAATGGGGATCCCCTCCACCACCATCAGTGTGCACCCCCACCTGAATGATGCGCCAGTCCGCTCGCCACACACCAGCTCTCAGTGGGGAGGAGAGCAGAGTGATGAAGCCAGTTCAGAGATGGGGATTATTAGGAGGCCATGATTGGTAAGGGCCAGGGGTAAATTTGGCCAGAACACCAGGGTAACACCACCACTACTCTTATGGAGAAACACACGGACATTTTAAATGACCTTAGAGAGTAAGGACCTCAGTTTTACATCTCATCCAAAGGACGGCACCTTTTTACAGAGTCATGTTCCCGTGACTATACTGGGGCATTAGGACCCACACAGACTGCAGGGTGAGCGCCCCCTACTGGTCCCACTTACACCTTTTCCAGCAGCAACCTTAGTTTTTCCCATACAGAGACTGGCCAGGCTCACACCTGCTGAACTTCAGTGGAGTGCCAGTTGTGAGTTAGACCTGTTACAAATGAGAGGAGACCATTCAGCCCATCTAGAGTCATTTAGCAGTTAGTAGCTCATTGATCCATCTGTTTCCTAAATGAAGTCTGCTTTGACCTTGGAAAAACCTTGAAAACAAAGTGATGCTGGCTTCAACAACATGACTGGGCATCATGTTCCATACTCCCAACCCCCTTTGTGTAAAGATGTGCCTGCCTCCTGTTCTCAGTTTTAAATGCACGTCCATTGATTTCGCCTCCTTTCCAGTGGAGTTTTCAAAGGCAACGTTTTGTGTACTTGACTTGTATGTGTGTGTCGTGAGAGTTTCAAATCCACGCTAATGTAGGAGCCTGAAAGCTTTGTGATTTTTCTTTCACACGTACGCATGCACAAGAATAGGGGTGATCACAGCTCATTGTGTAAAATGTCAAAGTGAAAATGGTACTGGTATTGTGCAATTCCCATAAACCTTGAGCTGTGAATTTAATTGATTAATTTCCTTGTATATTAAAGTATGGAAAATGTGTGCACCTGAACTTTTAATAGATTTTTACTTCACATTCATAAATATTGTACTATTATTTGTAAATGTGTAAGGAAATTAGAGTGAAGGAAAATAAAAATGTTTAAATATATACATTACATTTTCATTGCAGTAGGCTCACTTAAATACCATCTGCTTGTTATTAGAAATGTAGCCTAGTGGGAGACAAATGTAGGAGTAATGCCAGAAACAAAAAACATAGAACTAGAAAACAAAGCTTTCACATGCTGAAAGTATTTTTCTTACACATGCTATGTTTGTAAAAGAAAATTAAAGAGTTGGCACAGAAAGAAAAACTGAGAAGTGACCAGAAAATGAGCTAATAACAATCAAAGCCCAGTACATCACGGATTTGTAGGTTTTTGTATAAATCTTGAAAATATAATGATACTGAATGATTTGAAAAAAAAAAAGACAGCCATATCTTACACAAAAGCTTTCCGTGAAACTGCTTGCCAGTGCATATTCAGGTTCTGCTTTTGTACATCTTCTAGCTTTCCAAGGCTTTAAAAGCAACTTTGACAGGAGACAGCCAGCCCAATGCGTGCAGCCCTGCTCTGAGGCAC